GTTTGGGGGGGGGGGTGCAGGTGCTACGTGTGCATCTCCACACTGACTACCTCACCTGAAGTCAGAGATGTGCCTGCAGGAATGTGAGAACTACCACATGCTAGTTCAGAGGCGACGTCCACTAGATACAGGAACAGGCACTTCCGAGGAAGGTGGAAGAGCCTCTTGCCACCACTTGCTTGCTGATCCACCTCCTACCTCCGAGCTGGAACCTAGCCATGACATCACAGGACTGTAGCAAAGGAGGTGGGGGCAGGGATCTCCCCAGTCACCTGGCCTAGCCCCTTTTCAGGGGGCCCATCCAGCATGACTGAAGAGCCTGTCCCAGGTCCTGCCTGCCCTGCACCGCTGGGCCCACCCAGCAGCTGCCCCGCTCACAGCCTTTTCTGCCTGCCCTGCACCAAGGTCCCTACCCAGTGGGGACGAGGCATTCCCTGGGCCCCGGGGATAAGGACAGGGGCTGCGGGGAGGCAGGAGGAGCTGACACCCCCCAGCACAGGGGGCGCGACCCCCTCTCTCCTCCCGGTGTTTCCACCCCTCCCTGGACCCCCCAGCCTGCAGCGGCCCATTGGACCCCAAGCGAGGCCCAGGCACGCGACATGAGTTTACTTATTGACATCAAAGCGCCGCCGTGACATAACGCCACCTCATTAGGCTTGTAGACACCGTTCACACCAGGCCCAGTAGCCCCGGGTGGGGCCCAGCAGCGGTTCGCGCACAGCTGGCTCCCCTAGGGGCTCCGCACGTGGGCCGAGCCAGTCTCTCCCCCCGCGGTCGCTCCCCTCACCTCACCTCACCCCACCCGCGCGCGCTCAGGCCCGTTGGCGGCCGCCGCCCGGTTCGGAGGAGCCCGCCACTACGTCACGTGACGTGACGCGTGTGGGCGGGACCCCTGCTCGCGCAGCCCGGGCTTCATTCCTCGCCCTGCGCATGCGCAACGGGAGGGGCGGGGCCTGGCTGCGTGGCTCCTCCCCCCGCCTGTGTGGCCTCCGGCGAGCTGCAGGTCGCACGTCGAGTCCTGGAGATGGCAGTGCCCCTCCTGCCCGAGCTGGACCGGCGCTTCTGGCTGGGGAGCCGTGCCAGGCGGAGGCTGAGGGAAGCCTCCCGGGGATCAACTTGAGCAAGCCGGGAAGCCTTACGGATGCCCAGAGCGTTGAAGTGATTAACCAGCCTAGAGCTGAAGGTTGTGAAGACGAGGGAGGGCATTAGGATTGGGGCAGGGAAATGGCTGAATTCAAGTAAAACCACTGACCAAGGTAGAGGCACGCTCTCTTATTAGACCACCTAGACGGTTGCAGAAAAGTGTCTTTATTTGCACGGTTCCAGGCTCATGCAGCCTCCTCGGGCAGAGGAGAATGCAAAGACAGTCACATTTCTCCCAAGTGGAAATGAAAATGAATACTGCACAGGAGAGCTGGAGGGTGACTAAAGCATCCATGTGGGATGGGACAGCTTAAGCCTCCTCCCCGTGACTGTCCTGCGCACAGCTAATACCTAATTTTTCTGCAGGAATGTAGAGAAGTCCATCAAAATGAACCAGTTAAAGGGCCCTCTACTTGGCTCCTGCAGTAACCAAATCATATCCACATCTGGTAAAATGCTCAAACTATTTCATACTTTTTACATAAAATAAGTTTCATGAAAGAAGCAAGACAGACACATCAGGGTGCAGTTCAACAGGAATACCCATGTCATTGATGTATAGATTCATAGATGCTAGGGTTAGAAGGGACCTCATCAGATCATCGAATCCTACCCCCTGCCTACGCAGGAAATAGTACTGGGGTCAGATGACCCCAGCCAGATGCCTATCCAGCCTTCTCTTAAAGACCCCCAAGGTAGGGGAGAGCACCACCTCCCTTAGAAGCCCATTCCAAATACTGGCCCCACTTACCGTGAAGTTCTTCCTGATGTATGTTTTAGGATGAACAAGATTTATGTGATAGTGTTGGAGCAACGTAGTCACAATGGTCCAGGAGCTATAGGAGAGGCAAGGATTTTTGTGGCGATATCTTTTATTGAACCAGCTTCCTGTTTGGGATACACTTAGACAAGCTTTCACATGCAAGGTATTCTTCATCTGATGACTGGTAAACACCAATAATTAGAATACAACGTTCCACAAGGGGAAGTTCCCTGCTTGATCATGGTAGTCTTGGATTGTGGTGCATCCCAGCAGTCACTGGTCTGAGATAGGAATGCCTTTAGAAGTCTAGCTGTGAGCATGTTGTTCGATTTCGTACATTATAATTTGGTGAAGCAGTAGAAGCTTTATCTTCTGTGACTTGAGAGAATCTAGTCAGCCACTAGGATCAAATTCCATCAGATAACTAGGTTATCTGCAAGGCATTCTAAAGTTTGTATGGGCATGTCCACACGTGTGTACATTTGGTTCCCACCTTGCATGGCAGGTTGCCCCAGGTGGGGTAGGGGTGGCTGAGGCCAACACAGTGCTGGCCCCAGCAGCCTTACCTGCGGTCTTGGGGACCTCCAGGGGCTACAGCCATGGCAATTCTGCTGCATGGGATCTGTCCGGCAGCTGCAGCACAGCTCCAGGCAGCCTGTCTCCATTTTTCAGCAGCACTTGCTGCCCAAGTGTGTGCTGCTCTGGGTTTGGGTTTTTTTTTTGGCCACGTTTTTTTGTGACCCCTGGATATCCAGGGCTCAAAAAAAAACAAAACAAACCCACAGAAAAAGAGACTGGCGCAGTGTGCCCTTGTAGTATAGAGAACATGTTTGCAGCACCGTATACTGCTGGAAATCTTCAAGAGGAGACTGGATAGGCACCTGGCTGGGGTCTTATGACCCCTCCCACCCCCAGTGCTCATTCCTGCCCATGGCGGCGGGTCGGACTCGATGATCTGTCTAGGTCCTTTCCGACTCAGTGATTCTGTGATACTGCACAGCTGCAGTCATCTGGATGAACCCTACAAGTCTATCCCAGCCATGCAGTTGGTCACATAAAACCCACATAATCACCCACAGAAATCCTTGCCTCTTCCAAGATTTACATGGCTTCTTCATCTGCTGCTGATAAGCAAGATATTAGGACAAAATATAATGGCACCACATTACTCAAGATACCAACAGGAAGTTGTCTCAACACAGACAAAGCACTGCCTAATTGGGGTAGGATTGTTAGAAAAATCAACACAGCTTTTAGGTTTTCTGTTAAAATGTTTGTTTAATCTATTTTGGTACTGGCAGTCTGCCGGGCGTGGAGACGTGTTATAGTAAGAGCTATACAGATAGAGGATTTAAAAGATTTTAAGGAAGGCCAGTCTCATTTTAAGTAGTAAAAACTGAAGAAATCAAACTAGAATTTAATATATTCAAACAGCACACACATGTACCCTAACAACTAGGCTTTAAAAGTTTTAAAATGTCATAAGGTTTTCTCTCAAAAATTCCTAATGGTATTGAATTAGGACTGAAAGACGTTGCTCTCTACTTGAGATTTACCCTATTCCTGCCTGCCTTCATCTCATCATTTATTTGTATTATACCACTGCACTTTAGCACCTGAACAACTGAAGGGAGAAATCTTTAACTTGTTTGTAACGTAGCGCCTACACTTATGTGACACTGAAAAGGTAATAACCTGATCTACTATAATTCTGAGGCCTTAAGTCATCTTGCTTAACATAACTGTCTGCTGTGCATTTGGCAGGAGTCATCTTAAAATGGTAACTGCCCGATTTCATAAGTGCCGATGCTTGCAGGGCCTGCTTATTGATCATCACCCACTCATATTAAAACATGTATAAACAAAAGCACCATTTCCACAGTAAATTTTTGATCATGAGGCCTTACCTATCTCATACTATTCTTGGTATAGGGTTGGAGGTAAGGCAAGAAGCAAATGTATTTATTTACAAAACTCTGCAACACAGAAAACAGATCTTTAGCTTGAGGAAATGGGCTGCAAGCAGGGAAGACAGGAAAGAAAGGAGGAGCTAGTTATCTTTCTCACTCAAAAAATAAGCCTGTTTTCCTTTTATATCTGAGCAATTCCTAACCCAAGAAAAAGGTCAATCCCCAATTCAAGAAAAGGGTCTCTTGGATGCATGAGACTCATTATTGAACTTTGCTGACCCCATGGCTAGAAGCTGAGAGAACAGTACATTTGTGGCAACTGTTACCCGACACCTAAGCCATTCATCCTAGCAGCTTTCACTGGGCTGGAAAGGTTAAGAGCAGTTTATTGCTGGAAGCAGCTACTCTAGACAGGCTGGAGAGCTTCAAGTGGCTTAGAGCTATAAACCAGTTTAAGTGATCAGAAACTGGTTTAAACCTGTAACAGAACAGATATTCAGTGCACATAAACCTGGGTGAATGTAGTATCAGACTTAACTGATTTGGCTCAAACCGGTTTATGCAATGTCTGTCCCTGACCTATTTCTTCAAACTCTTCTTAAATAGCTTACTGGCTGACCTGTTGATTAACTCCAAATAGCCCTAAGCAGTCACTGTGCTGTCTGCCTGCCCCAGTGAAGTTGGAGAGAGATGCACAGAGACACCTCTCAGCATTATCTAGCATACTACATGCCTAGGGTCCATGGGGCTGGGGTCCCTGCTGTGGGAAATGGGAGGGAGGGGGGAGAATCCCTGCTTGAACACCAAGCAGTGGGGGAAGGAGGCATAGGGCAGGGGGAAGCCAGGCAGACTCTGCTGTGTCTGCAGTCTCTGTGGGAGCTCCAGCCAGGGAGCAGAGGGGAGGGGTTAGCTCTGCTGTGGAGCAGAGAGCCCTGCCCAGCCCAGACAGCATGCCAGGATGCTGGGGGAGTCTGGTTTATTTTAAACCAGCAAGGATAGAGTGTGGTTGGGAATTTGGAAGTACATTTAGAAACAGAAGGCAGGGCAGGGCAGCACCTTGGAAGTTAACTGGTTTAAAGACAAGGTTCTTTGGGTAAATGTGATCTCTTTTATTTGACCAACTAAATAGTTGGAAAAATTGTTCTTTGTAAACTTTCAGGCACAAACATTCTTCTTCAGGCATAGGGAATGCTGTTTTGTGTTCTTCTGGGTGGGACAGAAGGCAATATTCAAAATGCAGGTCAGTGAAAAATGCAAATGCATGGCAGTGAGGATCAGAGGCCATGGGCAACTGGTGCCTTCTGAGTTGGGGGGGGGGGGCACTTGTCCCCCCAGCAGCCAGTCACCAACTGGGCCAGCTAGTCAGTCCCCTGCAACTGATCCTGCCGACCTGCAAGTGGCAGCAACGTGCCGCCGGCACTTCCAGGTGAGCACAATTGGCTGCGGGGGGACCGCTTCTCCCAGTTCCTCCACTCCCCAGTTGGTGCCCTCAGGGGGTACACGAGTGCTCTTGCCTGCCCCACCTCCCTACCCAGGAACACTGGCTGTGAGGGGGTGCACCAGTGCTCTCACAGCTGTATGTGCACCCCCTACGTGTCGCCACTGTCAGAGGCCGTGGAAGACAATAGGTGAGAGACAGGTGGCTATGGGGGGGAAAGGAGGGAATGCTGGTCTGGTGTTAGAATGTAGCTAGTAAAATGTAGAGAGATTATGTGGCATTACCAGATGGCAGGCAGGCAGGTTGGTTACAATGTGCCATAAGCTCTTGTAAGACAACAGCCTACTTCATCAGATGCTGTTGCTTACAAAAGTTTATGCCTCTGAATTAGTCTTTAAAGGTGCTGCCTTACCCTGCCTTCTGCCTGACTTCAGACTAACACGGCTAACCACCTCTCTCAACTGAAAAATGGTAGCATTCACTGAATAGAGGGATTGCAAAATGCTTTTAAGGGCT